TTGAGAAAACAGTAGGCTATGGCCCAGCCAACCCTGTACCCTGATGTTAAAAGCTGTCCGTTCAGTAGGTACATGCTTTAATTAAGTGACTTAAAGCTGCTTTTCATGTGTGATTTGTGATATATTTTTTAATGTTTTATGTTGATTGTTGCCAAAAAGTTAGTTTTTATAAATATATTATATAACTCTAGATTGGTACACTGACTACTACTGCACTGCACACACGTTGAAACTTACTTTGGGTTTACTGCACCTTACTGGCTCCTATTTATACTTAAAGCCACCTTGTACACACTAACATACTAACTCACTACAATAAAACTATACAATTGTCTATTGTTGTCCTGCACTGGTATGTTGCATTACTGCATATGTTGTTTGTCATGTAGGTTGTGCCCCACCTGAGAGACCAGCGTATCACCTTTTGGTTATCCTATTAGTGCTAGTATAATGACAATAAAGTTGAATCAAACTGAGCTGAATTAAAAATGTCAACATGTGTCACTCTTTCAGAGATTGTGACAAAGTTAAGTTAAAAGGGTTTAAAACCTGTAATTCACGCTTAGAGTATAAACAGTAATTCATTATCAGTCTGACGATAATGATACAACCTCCTAGAGACTTTGGTGTAATATTCCTATTTTAAGGCTTCAAGCTTTTACAGTGTGTTCATAATGTGTTTGTGGAGGTGCAGTGCCATGAATTTCAGCCATCAGTTGAGGAGTTCATCATTTAACAAATTTACAAACTTCCTTATTGAAGTGAAAACCAAAACATCCCGTGTGCTCCATAAGTAGTCAGCTGACTCATTAAAGTGCCCTAGAAAACTCTACTGTACATAAACATTAGCACACCCTCAATGGCCAGTAACCAGTTCACTTAAGTGAAGCCTATTTTTTAATTTAGAATAAACAAAATAATTTTGCGTAAAGTATGTGCATGGAGGAAGGTTGTATATTCTTCTTCTTCTTCTTCAGCTTTATATTGAAAGTGTGGTAAAGTCTAAATATACAGAAGCAGTACATATACTAGATATATATTAATTGTTTATATTACTTCAGACAGGAAACACCTATCTGGGTAATCGTGTAACCTACAACAGAAATACACTGACACTCTTACCATATACCACAGTGTTCATAATGTAAACCACTGTTTGTGGTCTGCAATGCAGGAGATATTCATTGCTCATTTTACTGATAATAAACATATTACAACACAAATAGCAAACTAAGTGTAATTTAATAGAATCTTGTGGGGAAAAAAGCCAGTGCCTGTTATTGTAACTGAACATATTTTGTAGAAATAAATCATGAAAATATCTTACTGCCTCTAGTATGCATAGATACACAAACACAAGCACAGCCTGAAGACATGCACAAGCTTTTAACCTATGCTCCAAAAACCCGATAACACACAAACATCGAACTGCATTTTACCTGACAGCCAGTCGATAATCAGCTGGGACAGCTTGACTGGAAGGAGTATTTCCTCGTATGACACCACTTCTCTCACTCTCTCTATCTTCACGTGTCGAACAAATGCCAAGACATTGAACAAATACTTCACACCTATTTGTTTAATGTAATATCAACCACCAGCTCCCTCCCTCTCTATCTCTCCCTCTCTCTTCCTCTTACACTTCTTTGTGTGTGTTGCAACTCTAAACGCGGGGATCAGGTGTCAGCTAAGGAGGAGAGGAAGAGAGAGAAAGACTATTAAAGAGAAACAACCTGAAGGCAGACAGATTCAAAGACACGCTGCTAGAAAGGGTGGCGCCTCTACCTTACCACTGACAGTACAAGGGAAGGACTAATAAAATGTTAGTTTACTCTGAAACTCGTTCTTCTGTCGTCACTACGCCCCTATCTGTTTATTGAATGTTTTGGATGTGCGTGTGTGTCTGTGTGTGTGTGTGTGTGTGTGTGTGTGTGTGTGTGGTGCTATTAATCACACAGGGGTCAGGGTTTGGTCAAGATCAGGAGTAAGTCTCCAGGGAAATAATCATAGAAATAGAGAAGAGTTTTAACAGTAAAATACACAAAAGATTATGTGAGTGTGTGAGTGTGCCGAATGTCTGTACCCACAAACTATGAACTGGCTCTGTGTTGTGAGCATATTAACTCAGTCATAATACACTTACAAATACATTAAACACTTACTAAAATGCTATAAAACCTAAAACACCTACCGAAAGCTGGAGGGTGCAGTCTATCTAGTGACTTTGTGAGCCTATCCTACTACCTGAATGCACCACAACAGACAGGTTTGCATTCAGTGGTTGATAAGCTTCACTGAAAGCTGCCTTTAAGCAAATGAGCTGGAAAGATGTTGTCTTCACTTAAAGAATAGTAGTTGTCTGTGACAAGAAGATTATCTCTATTATAAAGAAGCTGTCTCCTCAATGTGTTCATATTCATAAAATGTGTTGTTTGATGTTGAATATTTATCACACCGACTCATACTGCTATATATGGTGTGCTAATTTTTTATAATATTGGCTTTTAACTGTAAAACTTGAATGAGTTTCCTTCTACTTCCTCATAGTACTTTTCAAATAAACTGCCCTGTCCAGTGTTGTAGAAGGGGCGTGATACCTTCACTGACAGCCTATGATGCATGATACTAGAGAGACCACTAGAGGACAGCAGATCCTCTTTCCATCACTGGAGTCTCATCTGACTCCATGATAGAAAAGGGCCAAAGAAAATAAGTTTCACTGCATTTGGGCCCAAGTGTGATGAGTATAATGTTGAAAACATAGTGATGTATGTCAGGAAGAAAGCAGTGTGTCTTTATTCAGGAATAAATATTCAAATTCATTTGTCTGTGAGAAGAGCTCTGTTTCTCTCAAGTGGTAGACCACTGGATGTGGTCTTGTTTGGGTTTTTTCATTTTTTTGCACTCTACACAAAGTCACACAGTCATACTGGAGCCTTCCCAGAAAAATGTGAGGAATTTTGTGTGTTTCATACCAAGAGAGCTGAGACGAATCCGTCTCACCCCAGATTAAATATTGTAGCTGATTGTGCTTATAGGACATCCAAACAAATGCAATAAAATGCTCGAGTTACAGACTTAAAATGTGATGAAATTAAATCCTAAAAGCGTTATGTAAAAATGACATAACATTACAGCCATTCATGATCATTACTGATTATTACATCATCAAGGTCTGACACTTCTTTGACTTGTAATGTAATAACACCACCAGCTTACATCAGTATGCTGCAGACTTTATTACATAGCATTTGACAGTTTTGTAATTAGCTGATGTCAGTGCATAATCTGGCAATTGTACCTAAACTGATTTTAGAACTTTGAAATTCCTTTTGACTTTTGATGACACTAGTTGCAATTAAAAAAACAAAAACAATTTCTCTCTCCTTTCAATTTCATTTTGTTACCTTCATTTTCAGTTTGATTTCAGTTTCACTGTAATTGCTTTGTTTATATTCTGCAAACAAAGACAAAGCAAATGATTAAGCAAATCATTTTAAAGGCTGAGGAAGAGTTTTCCAGATCTTTCCAGAAACCACCTGTTGTCCAGACAAACCTGAGTGTTTGCTGTCTCAAGTGGAAATGCTGGAAAGAATCTCATCCTCCACAACCAGGATTCAATCTTGATTCTGGGGTTTTAATATCCACTGTACAGTTCCCTGGGTGGCTGCAGCGTGATTACGATCGTACTTGTCATCCTTAGAAAAAAGGCACTTTACTATTTGCTATCTTGCAAATCTGCAGTACACAATATTGAAGAGGTGTGTCAACCCTCTGACAACATTCAGAGTCCTTCCCCATCACACATAAATCTTTTTTAACAAGGACATTGGCAATGATTCAGAAGTGCCACATCCACGCCCGTGGTAAACATTTCTCCACCCCTGATAAAAAAAACAAAGCCTGACCAAACCTGAGTTATCTGAGGGTGTACCAGGACCTATGATGTGGCCTTCCCATACAATTTCCAAAAATCAGGAGTCACCTAATAGCCCCCACTTACCCATAATTCACCCACACAATGACTGATTAGGCCTCAGAATGTGAAGAAATTTTATTGCACAAACTACAGCAAAAGACATACCAACAACTTTAACAATGCTCCCTTTTCAACTTTCAACAAAATATTTTAAAATAGCATAAAATCAATCAAAGCATTTAAGTATTCAAATAGATCATTCTCAAATGATCTATTGCACAAGAAACAAATGACTTACAGCAGTTGTTTCAGCTATGCAACCGTATGTAGTTGTATAGTCTAGTAGCTTTTAGCTGTGGAAAGAAACAGTGCATTCATTAAAATAGTATACTTGTACTTTATATGCTACTTTATTCCACTGCAGTACATTTCAGAGGGAAACATTGGCCAGTTGCTTTTCAGATCCTTTTCAAAACTAGCCTTTTCTCAACCTGCACCAACTCACTACTTATTTATTAATATGTCAGTAATATTAATAATCCAATGACGTAATACCGTAATACAATTCTCACGGGCCATTATGTAAAAGGAGTACTTTTTGATACTTTAAAGGGCATTTTACTGATAACAACCTACTTATGTACGCTTACTCAAGTGGACTTTACTTGAATAGAACAATCTAGACCCGTGTAGCTACTTCAACCCTAATTATTATAAATAAAGACTGACGAGAATTAGATGGGAAAGCGTATCTACCTGTCTCCCTGAGAAGTATGGAAGCTACTCTGTTTCGCTATTAATAGGAAATTTCAGTAGTATTTCACTTTTGGTTCTAGCTAACTCACCGTTGTTCTGTCTGGTTGAGTGTTACTCGCGCGTTAGTGTGCACGCACACTTTATATTTATGAGAGGGTTTCCCCGCACTGCACGTGCGCGTACAAACTGGCTTGGCTACAAACGAGCGCGCGCACAGCTTTTCAGTTTTTTATCCTTCCAGTGAACACACACACACACACACACACCCTCACAGAGAGAGAGAGAGAGAGAGAGAGAGAGAGAGAGAGAGAGAGAGAGGCTGTCTTGTCGCTTCCGGCTTCACACACTCAGACAAACAGCGCTTTACTACGAACACAGAGGTGTCGAGCTGCACGCATGACAACAGAAAACCTCCCCAGAAAAACTATTTATCCTGAGAGAAAACTGTGAGAGAGGATTCCACTGGTCGGTACGAAGTGCTTTGAAGTTTTCCTAAAAAAAATAGAGCCAGAGAGAAAACACTGCTGGAAGAGAAAGACATTTTGAAAGCCTCTTCTGTGGAGGAGGAGGAGGAGGAGGATTTTTTTTTGGTGAAAAAGGTGAAGAAGCGAGAGAGAGGACCCGGCGGCAGCGTCGAAACTAGTTCGTGTGTGTGGAAGAAGCCAAAAACAGAGAGAGAGAGAGAGAGAGAGAGAGACAGAGGGGAGAGCAGATACTAAGTTGTTCTGGTGCACGAGGAGCCGCATCTTTGCATGTTGTGTGTGTTTCTAGTGTCAGACACGCAGACAGAGGAGAGTCATCCTCTGTTCATTACTATTGGTATCTGGCTGTAATATCACTCAGACCAATAAAAGTGTCCCGGAGAAGCCTTGAAGAGGACAGCGCAGAGGTAAGATAACACAGGGCCTGCTGTCATTGTCAGGACCTCCATCTGAGGAGATTATTGCTGTTGGAGAGAGTTTATTACAGTTTAATACCACCAGCTCTAGTGCGGGGGGCGGGGGGTAACAGTGAAAGTGGACAGGGTTACAGGCCTAGTCATCCTTTTAGTAAGTGGGGAAATGGGGAAACCAATCTATTTCAGTAGTTTAAAAGCAAATATATCCTTATTTTTAATTTAAAAAATGTTAATTAGCTAAAAATATTTTAGTCTTATTGAGTCTTTTTTTGTCAGTTTCCCCCTTAATCAGTGTTTTGTGATTACAGATGCATGCATGTTTAACTGCTTTCTAATGATGCGCAGCAATACTGTTGACTCATTCTCAGCCAAGACATTGTTGAATTTATTAACACAGAATAATTTCAAATACCTTATCACATCCTTTTATATTAAGCTTTCAACAACTGCATGTAACAAAAGTTATGCTGAAGAACTACAACTCGAATAACTGAAACTCAAGTTTTTCCAGATTGTGCACACATTTGCCCCTCAGCTAATCAACAGCAGACATATGAATGTTCTTTACATCAAATGATTAAAAGGAGATCTGGAGGGGATCACAGATTTCACTGGATATTTGTCAGACTCTGGGATTAACATTAGCATTTTTTGAGTTTGCAACCAGATCCTAAGTGGGACCAGCTGTAGGAAGCCAACTGGGGCTGCAACAATTATTTTTATTGTCCATTAGTTTCTCAGATAATCTGTTAGTGGTTTGGTTTATAAAATGTCAGACAAGCTCGTAGCGACGTCTCAAATATTCCCCAAAAATATTCATTGATATATTAAAGTTAAAATTAGAAAATTTTGACTTTTTTTCTTAAAAAATGACTCAAAACAGTTAATCGATTATCAAAGTAGTTGCCGATTAATTTATTGGGTGACAACTAATCGATTAATCGTGGATCGTTGCAGCTCTAAACCTAACATTTGCATTATATTAGCATTACTCAATTAGCATTAGATTAGAAGTTATTTCTTGGGCTGCAACCAATGAATTTAATCACTGATTCATGTGCCCATTATTTTGTCAATTCATTGTTAATAAAATGCCATAAATTAGTTAAAAAAATAAAGAAAATGCTCATAACATTAGTCTAAACGTGTTCAAACGTCAGCTTGTAAACTGTCCAAAACGCAAATATATAAACATTGACACAAGAGAACACTGCTCATACAGGAGAAGACAGAAGAGTTTGGTATCTTTGCTTTAACAAATAATCAATTATCAATCAATAGTTGATGATTACTCACTCAACTGATCGATTAATCAGCTATTTGTTGCACGTCTAGGTTTTTCTTGATTTTGTTTGGATTTCCTTTAAGGCCTTCTTGAGGCCTTTTCCTCCTCTGGGAACCATTAAGCTTTATGTGGGGGTCCAAGCTTTGAGTATCCCTTCTGCGAGTAGTGGGCGATATTAATTTATTTTAGATGTGATATTGATATATATTGTGATATAATGAAGTTTCCAGACATTCTATTGAGGAACTGTTTATGTATAAATAAGCAGATAGGAATGTTTGTTTTTGGCTGATCTAGTTGGTTAAAGTTGCATAATCTCAGAATCTGCAAATTTTAGATAAAAATCTAATATTTCCATAGATTAATACTTCTCATTGATACATCGTGGTTAACATTGCCCACAATGAACACGCCCAGAGCTATAAAATGGATTGTGTGTGAGTATGTGAAAATATCTGATGGCATATTATTGTATTGTATCATCAACCTACCATCTGCTTATGTAAATTTACAAGGAATAATAATCATCAGCATCTTCTAAACTTTTTATCAGCTGAGTTGCTTTTAGCGCACTGTATGTAGGTTTATTGCCCACTTGTGTAGGCAAGTGGACAGTTTGAATACTCACACAGTCCCACTCAATCTGACACTAAGCAGCTCTGAAACACAGTCTGAGGTAGTTTACATGTGCTGCTATACCAGAGTCATCACAACAACAAAGCATTTGTTTCTGGTTTTTATCCCTTTTTATTGCGGTTGCCTGTTTTGGAGGCTCACGCTAATCGTGGCGCATGAGCACGATACGAACTCATGGTCAGGGTCATGGTTTGCTTCACTGTGCTGCTTCGTGGCTGTTGTTAATTGATAGTAATGTGATATCTTAACGTGTCTGGAATGTCAACATAGACAGTCTTGCATATTTTCTGTAGACATATGTATCTTTTTGGACAACATTATCTGTCAGGGAGGTGAGACAAGTGGGTCTCTGGCTGGGATTGAGGAGACAAAACATGTGCTGTATTATTGCCTTGTCTAATGACTTTCTTTTTTGCTTTCTCCCAAGATGTTGGTTTTATGCCACTTAGGGTGCAATGGGTGTTATAGTCCTACTGTTAAGGCCTATTCTCCTGTGAAACAACTTTACCTACTATTGAATCTGCCCAGGGTTTATAATACAAGACTTTTTTCTACTTATTCATATATGATCCGATTAAACTGATGATCGCTGTGGGGAAACAGGACCTTTTGACGAGCACAATTCACAACGAATTCAGAGAATCTGGAGCTGTCCTTTAGTACAAAGAGAAAAGAGAAAAAAAAGTATTTGGGAAGCAGCTAACCGTGTGAAACATGCAGTGTGAAAATGTTTCCTAGTGCCCAGTGCCGCTTCATTACAGCAACTGAGCCGTCTCACAGAAAGTAAATCCACTACTTCTGCATGAAAGATTCAGAACAGACAACTAAACCAAAATAGCCTGTAAACACCTCTCTTTCCTTCCAAGCTCCTCTTTCAGTCCCCATCCTGCACTGTCTACTTTCCTCCCTCTTTCTCTCTCTCAAACCCACTTTATCTGCTCCGGGGCCTGAATTGTGTCGTTTTCACTGGAACTTAGTGGCTGTTAGTGTCCAATAAACTGAGAGAAGTGATTATACAGTGTGAAAAAATGCTGCATTGGTGGTTAGTAAGCTACTCGAGTCACAAGCCATTCAGATTGTTTCCTGCCTCTCTCGAACTGCGTCACTCAACCAACAAGGAAATCCCATGTTTACCCTCGTTGTTCATGACCTGATGTCTTATCCTGAACCTATCTGGAATCAAAACACATCCCAAGGCAGTTTTTGGCAGCTCAGCACATGTCCAGAATACCAGTGTGCTTGAATGAGCCCCAGAACTGGACTGAAAAGGATTTGTTCTCTGTACGTTGGGGCTTCAGTTTAACTTTGTTGACAGTTCTGGCTTGAAAAAATGTTAGGCTGTGCTACTCTGCATAACACATTTCACTGCCAGTAAATATTTTACTGACTACTCTCTTATTAGGTGATCACTTGGCATGAAATTAACGATAATTATTGCCTGTAGTCTAGTCTCATTGCTCACAGTTCTGCACACCAGTACTGTTTTGCTTGTGCTTTTCTCAACGTGTTATACAAAGCAGATTGTAAGTCAGGCAGCTCTGGATAATCACTCATCTGTCCGAATTAAGTACAACGTGGCTTTGTGGGTATCATTACTGTTAGTATTTAAAAAGACCACATAAAGCACTAAAATGATGAATGTGTTCATCTAATTCACCCTGCAAATAGCGGATTCTAGAGTACTTTCCCTTCCTGCAACTCACCTCCCGACTGTCTTGATTCCAATGCTAAAATGACTGGTTTTGGTTCCTGAAGGGTACTAGATCCTTGCACCGTTGCACAGCTAAAATAGAAAGGCAAGTTCAAATTTTTTTTATTTAAATCAAACTTAACAAGTTTCAGATCAAATGATCCAGAGGACACAGTCAAATCATGTTTTTGATTCTGTCTCGTAATGACAAGCCTGTTTCAAGACAATCACCTAATTTTCCAACTGATAATATATAGTAATATTTATCATGGCAAAAAATATATTGTGGACAGACAATAACTTACAGTTTCTTGAAACAATCTTGATTATTTTGACCAAAAACGTGCTATAGTGAACACTCTGTCCGTCTATCGCAGCAAAAAAGAAGTGATCAGCAACTCTTGGTGTCTACACATCTTTATCTGCGTCACTTCAAATTGAGGAGATTCCACAGCTGAGCTGTTGCCTTTTCTCTATCTTTTCCCACTCTCTAGCTTTCTTTCTCCTTCTGTGTTTAATTCTGCTGCCACTTTTTATCTGTGTTTGCCTCTCTCTCTCTCTCTCTCTCTCTCTCTCTCTCTCTCTCTCTGCCTCCTGCCCTTTCTCGTTCTCCCTCTCTGCTTGTTTCTCTATATCTCCATCTTTCTGCCCTTTTCCATGTGCCTCCCTCATTTTCTCCCTGAAAGAATGTTACCTTAAAGTTATTTTATTTTTAGGCTGAAGCCAATTTCAAACAAACAGTGTGGAGCTAGGTGTCAGGCAGACTTAGTTCGGAGAGGTGGAAAACAATTGGCATGGAAAAAAAAGATTGTACTCTGTAATAAAACAGCTGTCTGATTCAAATGAGCAATATACAAATCTCAGCTTCTATGAAACATTAACAGGAAAAAGGCAAATTATTTCCACTGAGTGGAACTTGTCCCTTTCTTGTTTTCTTCCAACATTAATTTCTATATCTGTTATTTTTCTCTATTTAGTTTTATTCCCAGCATGAACAATGATATCATTTATTTTGAGTTAACAACACGACTACATGAATAATCTTCTTTGTCCATGACGCAGTTAGGGATGGCTTTCCAGGAATGGAAAATTGAACTTCCACTGTCTGTCCTTTTTGAAAAGGGCTTTCATTTCAATTTTTCCTCTTGAGGAATGTTTTTCATTGCAATACTTGACACATTCCTACTTGATGTTTAATAAATAGAGAGGTTAGATACAGTTAAATTAACTTTCCTGATCTTACTCTCTTTTTTCTGCCTTGCAGTGTGCTGCCGCTGCTGACTGAATGCAGAGGAAACACTGAAAGCTGTTCTCCAAACCTCCCTGCAGCTTCAGGGGAGATTATCAGATGTGTACCCAGCACTCAAAACCCCTGGCCTGGCCGCGGGGATGGCAGCCTCTGCCCTGAACCTGAACGGCCTCGGAGTCATGAACAGGTCAGGATTTTTTGTTTGATAGTGTACGTCACGTTTTTCTTGTTTGTTTGTAAGACTGCAGCATTTTTCTGGAGAGGAAATGCATACTTAAAACATGTTTGGTCAGTGTGGTTTGTTGCAGCTAAGAAAGCTGTTAGACTGGACTGGTAAGATTACTTTTTAATACGTTACAGAACTATTTATGAAGTCATCCCGCTGCCCAACATGTTGATTTCCATGAAAACTTTGCTAATCACTTGGTGGGATGCATGAAATATCCCTCTATCTGGGTAACAATTTCTCTGTTCCTTTATATGTCCAGAGTATGTTTTAGAAGCTATGAATACATGTTGTAATGGATGTAATGATTGGTTTCTACTCAGATGACCTACCTTATCTATGTAATTACTTTTCAGTCCTAATGTTTAAACATGTTGTTTGTTAGAAGTTTTTCATATATACAGTAGTGATATTTTTAGGTGTATTTGTTCTGTAAAGAAAAACAAAATGTAACACTCTTATTTCTATGATAGGTTAGCCTTTCAGACCAACCAACCCTCTCCTCTCCTCTCCTCTCCTCTCTGCAGCAGTAATCAGTTTCACACCCAGCCAGGCTCCTCTAGTACCACGTCTGCAGCTAGAACTAGTCCAGTGGGTCGACCTGTGCTGCCGGTTCCAGATCGGAGCACCTACTGTCAGTTACTGGGTGGGGGAGCACTCTACAGCCCGACCAGTCCTAAGGTAACTCAGATCCACACATCACATCCAACCTGAGAGAGCTAGATCTGAAAACACTATTACCTTGCAGATCATGGTAACATCCTAACTTCATACAAAGTGGACAGAAACAAATTAAAAAAGTCTTTCCACAGTTCTAACAACCACCAACTCTAGTTTGGTTAAAGTAAATCCTTAATTCACCGACAGCAGTTTCAGTCTCTCTCCTCAGTTGTACACGCGGAGACTTATATGCTCTAACACGCACACATGGCCAGACTGGCTTTGTAAACAAATCGCAGACATGCTGGGATAACAACACAGGCAAAGGGAGTGTGAAGTCATTCTCTGCTCAGGACACCATTACTCCACTATATCTGCTGCATACAGTTGTCTGCCGCTATATTAATGTTTTAGATCTCATTTACGGTATGTAACCTTTACAGAAAATACAAAATTAACTGGAAAAATAAGGAGGAGTCAATAACTGAAGGTCGTCATTGTAGCTGGTATATTAACATCAGTTGATATAAGTGAGGTATTTTTGAGTGCCCCTAATCCCGTCTTGTATGTCTCCATGTAGACAAGCCCTAGAACCCTGGGTCGAACCTTTGTCTTCCCCCCTTCGCTCTCCCCCAGCCCCACCCCTCGTGCTCGTTCCCCCTCCCCGCGAAGCCCGGAGCTCCTAGGAGTCAATGTGGGCCAGCGGGTCCGACGACTGAGCTCACCCGGCGGTGAGGAGAGAGGGGAAGGAGAAGGGCAGGAGGAGAGGGGAGGTGAGACGGGAGGAGGAGAGAAGCGAGAGGACAGGAGACGCCAGGCACAGCTGCTGCAGATACACAGAGAGCTGCAGAACGTCGAGGTGATTTTACATGTGCCTCCTCTTCTTTGTCTGTTTAACTGCGTCTCTGTCTTCCTCTGTGTCTTTTATGTCTCTGTCTTACTGGCTACATTGTTCTGTCTTGATCTAGGAATGCAGTCATTAGAAAATATAGAGCAATGTATTCAAACTCTGAAAGATTTACTACTTTATTTTGATTTGTTGAGCTAGTCAGAACAATGCCAGTAAGAACTGCTCTCCCCCAGCTGTGTTGGTGCCAAAATGCAACAGTTACTCGAGCTTTGAGAGCTGAGCAGAAAACAAGGAAAAGAGAGTAAACCACATAGGAAATCTGGAAAACATTACTTACCAGTCTGGGAAAGGGCTTTTAATTTGATATTTTCATCGTAGAGGAGAGGTTCTCATTTTCCTATCCTGACTGACTATTTGTACTTTTAAACTGTAATTAAACATGTATTAATTAAACTAAAGGGTTTAGTATCAATACAGATTATTTGGAATTTCAATTTGATAATCAGTATACAGTATAGTGCATTACAATACTGTATTACTTAAGCAGGGGTTTACATAAGCTGTTTATTAGTTACATTTTTGTTTCATATTTGATTTATTTTCATTTCATTTCATGTCTTCTTTGTATTTATTGGAAGCCAACCTACATTTGTTCTCAGATTGAAACTGCAGACAGTCACACATGGAATTTGTAGCTTGCCAACAGTTCATTTTTCAAGACAGTCTGTTTAATGCCAAAATGGGAAAACATGAGAAAAATGAGTCATGGCTAATTTATTTTTTATTTTCTTAATATTGGTAGTATATTATGGTGATATTTTGTCATTTTTTGTCATGTCAGTTTATCTGTCTTACATCAGGTGAAGGTTTTTGGTGATACCAGTGCACCTGTGAAATGATAAGCAGCCTAAACCAAACATGAAAAAATGCATCAAAGTAAACGTCTCTACAGTTAGACCAAGGAAACGAAACTGTAGCTACGTTTAGACCTTTATTTTCTCTCTGTCTTTCAGGTCAGGGGAAAAGTTGGCATTTTTGAGGCGCACATTTCCGGAATTCGCGCCCAGGTGCTTAACAGTGAGCTCCAGCGCAGCCCTCGGTCTCCAAGACGATCGACAAGCGAAACCCCCTCTCATCCCAGCCAGCAAAACACAGTCCTTGAATGCCCAATGACCCACCCACAAGAGAGTAAAGTTCCCCCTGTTGTTCAGAATGGAAGCGAGAGGGAAGAAGAAACAATGGGAGGAGAAAGGAGAGAAGGAGGGAAGGATGAAGGTGAGATGGACAGCAGTGCTACTAAAACAAACACTGAGAACGAGACAATGATTGGTCAAAATGGACGCCATTTAGGAGCAACAATGCAAACTCCCTGTTTAGATGGACCGTTTGTCATTCCGGGTTCCCTTGAGGCATTAAACCCTGATGCAACCACAGACAGAGAGAAAACAGAGGGAGAAAGACTGAGGGAAATGGAGGGAGAAAAAGGCGGAGGGGAGGTAGAAAACACACAAATGTGGGGAGACGAAAGAGAATGGACAGAGAGAGAAGTGAGAGATGAGAAAGTGGACCGGTTGTGTCTTGAGATGCCGCTCCAGACAGAGGCAAAGAGGTTGGAGGTTAACCCGGAAACCCCTGCTTGTCCTCGGGCACAAAGCAGTGAGAGCTCTCCTTCTTTGCTGGACATCACCAATCACACCTCAAACCACTCTGCCTCCATCCCTCCCTCCATCCCTGCAGTCATAATAACTGACCATGGTTTGGAAAGCCAGCCTCAAACTTCTGAAGGCCCTGGCTCAGACCAGGGACTATGCTGCACCCCTAGCCCCAGCTCTAGCCCTGTCCCTGGTTCGAACTCCTCCACCCGCTCCCTCAGGAAGCTGTCATCCTCCTCTGCCTCCTCGGCTGGTTTCTCCTCGTCTTGGGAAGAGTCGGAGGAGGATGTTTCCAGTGATACGGAGAAAGGAGAGCAGCTTCTCAACCCGGCACTCCTCAGTTCTAAACAGAAAGCGGTAAGTAGAGACAAGTGAGAGTGTAAGTCTGTTAGAGTGTGCCTGTATCTACAGCCTGCTTGAGATTCAATAGACTTTTGTAGTTTTAAATGGCAATGACCTTTGGAAACTGCATTGGCCGGGATTTCCATATATCATCCACATATATGGGAAAGTAAAGAAAATGCTGTGTCACTTCCTCAGCCTTGCTATGGCTCATGGAATGCCAATGTTGGTTTGTTGGTAGGTTTCTTAATATTTCTTTTAACAACTGTCAGATGGATTGCCATGAAATTTTGTCCAGACATTCATGGTCCCCAGAAGATGAAGCCTACTGACTTTGGTAATCCCCAAATAATTTCATATAGTGCTGACACGTTAAACTAAGATGGTGAACATGGTAAACATACCTGAATAAACATCAGTATGTAAGGACTGTCATTGTGAACATACTGACATGCTAATGTTAACATTTAACTCAAATTTCATTAATTTATTCCATTATATCATAGTTTTTAGCTGATACATTGTACAGCTTAATTTTTATAGCAAGTTTAACTGTATAGAAATACAGACAGGAACACACATTCACATTTGTGAAAAAAAGACCTCTCGGCACCGTGATATTTAAAAAAAAAAAAAGTAAAACATAGCTCGTGCAGAACTGATTAGTTTGCAACTTATCCTGCCAGATCTGGTCGTGGTGTGAGTCTTTGTTAAGAATTGCACCTCAAAATGTGTGTATGTCAGTGTTTGTGTATGTTGTGTGTGTTTGAATGTGCCTGTGCATGTTGCTGGGTGCTCCTGTGTCAAATTGGCCTGAGCTCTCTGCCTGAGTAATGGTTGACATTCACAGTAACAAAGCTAGCTCTGTGCCCCGACCTGTGTATGTGTGTGTAGGTGTGTTTTTAGTGTGTGGGTAATGTGAGGGTGTGTGTGTGTGTGTGTGTGTGTGTGTGTGTGAGAGAGAGCATGGGTGATAAAAAGAGGGAAAGCAAGAGAATTTGCCAGTCACACACACTTAGTCTTCGCCTGCATTTGGACGGCATTCAAAGAGGAGGCTGAGGCCTGTTTGGGTTTGTGTGTGTGTAGGTGGGTGGGTGGATGTGTTTGTATTTGTAGCCAGGATAAGTTCACGAGGCCATCTCACTTCTGCTTTGAAACACGATTTAACGAAGGATTGTGTAACTGATTTTCTTATAAACAATGTACCAGTCCCAAAAACTGTCCCCCTTTTCAGGACTTGACATTACAAAATCTTTGTTCTTTTTGGGGTTTGTGGCTTAAGAAGGAAAGTACTCATAATCAGTTGATCTACTATCTACTATGTGTCTACTTTCAAAACCCAAGGCAATATTTATGAGACTGAGTATGTGTGATGGATGCTGTTTTCTTGCACATATTTAATTGCATGACCTATCCTTAAACCAATGTCCCAGCTCTCCCACTTACATGGATTACAAACAATTTGTTTAAATGAATTTGGCTGATGGATTTGAATAGTGCTTGTATTGCTCTTTGCATATTTCCGCTCATTTTGTTTTCCTTTATCCTGGCAAAGAAGACAGAAGCTCCTGTCTGCCGCTACAGCTGACTGATGGATAGTTTTAGGTTTAAAGTTACTAGTAAAAGTCTGCTCTATTGTAGCACAGAGGTGTCAGACTTGCAGGTTATTCATGTTCCTGTCTTGTTGCCTGTCACAGTTCCCGTGGTTTAAGGAAACCTGGTGTATGTGTGCAAAAGGCAAACATGCAGATACACATAAAGCACGCTTGCTTGTGTGGGAGGTATGTAGGAAAGAGGAGAGGGAGACAGAGAGAAGAGGAGTGATACTGAGAAGGGAAGATAGAGAGAAGAACAGAGTGAGCTTGACAGTAAGACTGTCAGAAAGAGACAAAAGAAAGAGAGCAAGAAAGGAAACATTGGACAATATTTACTGTATATTATCCATGTTGTCTTAAACTGACATTAAGGGAAACATATCTCCCCTTCTTACGGCTATTTCTTACAAAAGGAACCTGACTTTATTTGTCATATGATGAACATCAGACCCAGATTTAAAGATGTACGTGGAAATGCACAGATGTGTAGCTCTGGTACTGCTATATACACACTAAGGTTGCATAGAAAGATAGAAAATAAATGTGTATGGTGAAAAATAAAAAAGTATAAGACCAGTGCTTTCTGCAGAATACATTTATCAGTTATAGGTTTATATTTTCTATTGAGGAGCTCTAAACACAGTCAAACACATCTGCTTTGTTATGGTCATTAGCTTTGGGATTATATCAAGTCATTTGTAAGAGTGTATGCTTAACTGGTAGAGGCTGGAATCTGAACAGAGCCATATATAGACTCTGTTTGCCTGATCTTTTGACTGTTGGGCATCTCTCCAAGGTTAGAAGGCACATATGTGCTGTCAGTGTTTTCATAGTTCTAATAAATTGGCACCAAAAGGGCATCTGCAGTAGATTGGCATCTGTATTTTTCTTTCTTAAACATTTCTGTGGATGTTCTGTTGTTCCGGGGAAATGAAAAGAGAAGAATATGCCAACAGCAGAGTTATGAGGGGACACCCAGTTGTTAGCTTTTCTGTGTAATTTACCTTTATCCGCTTGGCACCCATCAGAATATTTTAAAACTAAACAGCTGTAGATAAATCCTAAGGGGTCTTGCAATTGTAGGATCAATAAGGAATGTTAGGTTACAAAATGACCATGTTATCAACAGCTGACCAAATAGTATTAAAACTAAAGATGATGTGCAAATCACCAATAAACACCAAGACTCATGGGATTTATTTCTACTCACAATGCTGTGAGTAGTACTTGCTAATAAAATCAAATCACCTCATTTCATTAGTTTAACAATTAGGCAACCAACTATCAGTCTCCAACTCATTTTGGATTTGGATGCTAAACATTTGCAGTTTGTTCTGCCTCTCAGATATGTAGATTCACTGCTCTTCTCTGTTTTATGCCACAATAAAACGAATGTCTCTGTGAATAGACTGTTGTACTGACAACAACATGTGATTTGAAGTCATCACCTTGGGCTCTGGGTAATTGTTAGTAGCTTTTTTGACATTTTATAGTCTAAAATATCAGTTTGATTGATTGTTAGCTGCAACCCCGACAAACTGATTGTCAAAATTAAGGTTAGATGTGTTTAAACTTAAAGAAGCTAATGCTAGTGGAGCAGAACCAATAGTAGAGCGGAAGTGAGGCAGGACTTACGAATACTATGAGTGATGCAGAAGTTGTGTTGTTACTCATGCTGTTTGTACTGTAAGTAAAGCTTGGGTTGCATTACAATTTTGGACACACTTGGATACCCCTGTGGTTCTTGAAAAGTTGCATCCGTTATGTAAACAGATGTTTCTTTTAGAATGAAGACTGCACCCATACTGCTCAACATTAAAACACACGCTCAAATATGCCTGCACTGACACGCCCTCTGTACACACAACACTTTTTCTAGTTGCACTTTGCAGAACAACCCAATACTGTATTCACACAGAATTTTTTTTCCCCTCACAAACACTGTAGCGTATGTCATACTGACTCACATCCCTTTTTCTATGACCCTTCGAAATGCAGACTGTCACACACTGACCCAAACATTAATCTGAACCTCTGCTTGTTTGAACGTGAATCAAACCTTGTCTCCGAAACCAAAAATAGAGATTATTTTTTATGCAGTGGGCTGGACTCATTTTTATGTCCTGAACTGTAACTCAAGTGGGTCGACACAAAATATCAGCACACACATTATACACACTCTGAGACACGCACACACACACTGTGTTTGTACTGCAGTGGAAAATCTTCACTACCACGGCGGCCGGTTGCCTAGCAGCCATGTGACGTCAAACCGAGTTTCCCTCTCACAGCTGTATGTGTGTGTGTGTGTGTATGTGACAAGAGAGTCTAAGTATATGGGTGTGTGTCCATTTAGTGTGTGTGTGTGTTACAGAGGACCTACTTGATTTACTGTGAGAGGGGAAACACCGGTCAGTTCTTTATTTGGTGTTTCTGTGTGAGGTTTCTGGTAGCAAGGTTCAGTGCAGGCATGTGCGCATTCGAGTTGCCCCAGCCGTGGAGGAGTCAGGTCGACCCGCAGTTACTGAAGTTGACATTTTGGTCTGACAGAGTATTTAGTATTGGATCCAGTGTGAAGAAGAAGTGAAGTGTGGTCTCACATGGTTTCAGAACTGTCAGAGACACACTGGGGAAACCCTGCTGGATGTGATTTAAGAAACAAGTGGAATAGATATAGTATAGCTCCTAGACTGGAGATCCACAGGTTGCACTTCTAAATGTAACAGCTATATTAGCATTAATAGAAGTTGTGTAGATGTTTTGGTTAAGTTCTGTTCTATTATTATGAACAGACTTTTATGGATTATTCTGCAAGTTTTTGTTGAAACACCCAGAAGATCTTCTGTTTGTTTGTTGAGTGTTTCGGAGCCGAGGCTAGATCTAAAGTCAAATGTGCTCTGTAATGTTCCGTAGTGACCTCAATTTGGTCTTACTTATTGGACCACAGTATTTTAGTTACAACATAACTGAACAGCCACATCACAAACATCTCTCACTTTTTTTTCTTTTAGGTGTCCCTTGTTCTCGCCTTTATGTAGCCGTCGATTTTGCAAAGCTGTTTTTCCACCGGCCTGCCTTGGTTGCTAAGAGATTTATCATGCACTGTCTAAGCATTTACTGCACGCCGTTTGGCCTGCATCACACTCCTTGCAGTTTAATTTTGTCTGTGTGTGTGTGTGTGTGTGTGTGTGTGTGTGTGTCTCACAGTCTAAACTTTGCAGACTCAGACAGTTGCAATATTTGTATCTGCAAGGGGACCTTGTGGTGAGCGATATCGGGCTTGTTGTTTCCTCAGTGCTTCTCCGTTGAAAACATCAGCATGCATCAGTGTTTCCCCTGCTTCTTCACATTACACATTTGTAACCCAGAGTTACCCTTTGCCCCAAGTTTTTTTTTTTACCATTCTCACCACTCTCTTTT